GCACCGTCAGGACCTTGACAAGCCATGATGCTTGCCGAGTGACGGGAAAATGTGAGCCCAAAATAATTGTAATTGATTCGAGTTGAACCTAGAGAAGAATGATGGTAAAAAGAATTTCTATAAGCAAAATGACGAACAGCTTGTTTTATTTTCGCAATGATTAGGTCTCGATACTATCAGTATCAACGTAAGGAAATTAAAATATCAGCTCTTCATCACCTAATGGACGACATAGAGTGATACCTTTTTGGTAATATCATGCATCGAGGCAGGCTCCGAGGAATGCATGCTACATTGCATTCACAATTACAGTTGTACAGTATCAAAACAACATTAGACAGTTGACTAGGAAGATTCTAGAAGGTTCTCTGACATCATCAATGAGCAGCTTTATCGTTAACACCTAGCTATAACCTAAAAAGTGATATATAAAGTAAATCCCCTTAATAATTTTATGTTGACCAGTATATTTCCTATTTTTCGTATTTAAGTAGTTTGGAGGCTACCAGTAAATCAGTAATATGAGATGTATTCACCCTATTTAGTTTAAGGTGATGAAGGACTGGTAGTAGAATTTTCCCACAATGATATAAGTAGAACTAAAATTTCCATTGAATTTCACATAGCCTTGCTTTCCCAAAAGTTGTTCATATCCAGGGTGGACTGCTGTTTCGACATCGCATAGGTCTTATCAACACCCCCAGTGGGAGTCGAACCGCGACAGTGCAGAATGTGAGCCTGACACGTGATATTGCAGATCTGGCCTTCCTTCAAATTACCATTTGCCCTGTGACCCAAGGGCACTCGTGGCAATGTGGCCGAGTGGTTAACCTGTCAAGCTTACATTCTGCAGATACCGATCGACTCCTGCTGGGGGTATGATAAGACCTATGCGAGATCGAAACTGCAGTCCATCCTGGATGAGAACAACATTTGGGAAAACAAGGCTATGTGAAACTCAATGAAAACGTCAGCCCTACTCATATCATTGTTGGAAAATTCTACTACCAGTCCTTCATCACCTTAAACGAAATTGAGTGAATACATCTCATATTTCTAATTTACTGGTAGTCTCGAAACTCTACTTAAATACGAAAAATAGGTAACGTAATCGATTGTTATAGCAAATACACGTGTGCTTCTTTGACAATTCCACCAAAGTAGATGATATGGCAAAGGGCCTGGCCTTCCTTGAAATTCACATCTGCCCTGTGACCCAAGGGCAATGTGGCCGAATGGTTAACATGTCAGGCTCACATTCTGCACTGTCACAGTTTGACTCTCGCTGGGAGTGTTGATAAGACCGATGTGAAGTCGAAACTACAGTCCACCATAGATGAGAATATATTTCATATCGCATAGTAATATATTCTCAATCATCCTAAATTCACATAGCCAAGCTTCTCGTTTGCATCCTCATACATTTTTATATGCTCATATTGTGCACCCAATTAAGATTTAGTCACCTTACCATCCCTACAACAGAATTTCCTGACTAAAATTCATAGCTCCACTCTGCAATACAATTAATTCAAATTCTAAGAGATTCGCTCCTATCACTAAAATTATATGCATCCTCTAACTAATTACATTCTTTCGGTGTTAGCTATCTTACCCATAATTTGAGGAGTTATTCACATTAACAGCCACATACATTTGATATCATGGAAATGATTGAATTGAGAAAACGAAATCAAGCGGTATAAAAAAACTACAAGCAAACTATAGGCCACAACACAGTGCTTGCTATATATACGATCGTAAAAGTACAGCAGACAAAAAGAAATCAATCCATTAAGATACATTTTAAATAATATATCAAAATTTAAAAAAGCAAATAACTTCGTGTTTCCAATATACTCGATTTTAGCAATATGAAATCCGTATTGATATCGTATACGCAATACCAGCAAAGGAGTTGGTCTATATACGAAGAAAATGCGGAGTTCGAATAATCTCCTGAGATAAGATTGATGTCAGGACTTTCATTTAGTATGGAAGTACATGATGAAAAGATTTGTAGGTCAAGCTCACCGAAAAGGTCGGGTGATTTGCATTGTACTGCAGCCGTTTGGCATTAATACGACGTTTAAGGTTGATGCAGTACACAAGACATTATCCAACGGTTAGGGCGAAGAGGGACTGAGCTTTCATTCGTAATGTGACAAGCATCGCCAGGGTTGGGACTCTGGTAAAAGCCTCAAGTTAACAATAAGTCAAGAAGAGTTTACAGCATAAACTGCAAGGATTATGAACAAAAATACATCGGAGACAGGAAGTACAATCAACACAAAGACTAAAGAACACCAGCGACTATGCAGAAAAATTGATACGGAAAGATCGGAGATAGCTGAACACATCGCCATTACCGGCCACACAATGGACTGGAATGTAACGGAAAGACTGGCTTCATATGGGGAAAACATCAGGAAACGGAAGATCCGGGAGGCTGTGGACATCCTCTTTAAAAAAACCCTGATCAACAGGAGATTGGAAGAGAGAAGAGTCAGCAATAATTTAGGATATTGCCTGAGCAGACTTGGAGATTCAGCGAAGACATCAAAAAGAAGAGGCTTGAACACAGGGCAACTGTTCAACAACAGGAAGAGAAATCACCAGAGCGGCTCATGAGGAGCGAAGGGGAGTTAAGAAAAGGCGACTGCAGTGAGAAGAGCAAGACATAGAATTGGCAAAAATATTTACCTAAGGAGTTCACCTGTGAGATGTAGAGTATTAAATTAAAGACTATAGGTATAAGTGGGCTAGGTAGAGGTCACCAGTGTGTGTATTTTTTGTATCGGTGTCTGAAGGAGTGACTGGTAACGGGCTTGATCACGGGGGATACCAACACACATGAACACCATCCCAGTACCCTAGAACTAGATGGGAATGCATGGGCATGGACATGACCATCATCTGCTCCAAATCCTCGAATATGGTGTAATCAAGGACTGAAATTGAAGGAGCTTAGGCAGCCAGATTTCAGACAGCCGAACGGTGATTTTGATGTTTAGCAGTGGCCAATTGACAAGCAGATAGAAAAAAGGGGCAAGCAGAATGTAAGTCAGGACCCTGCAAACGGCATCTGGTACCGGTGGTGGAAATGATTACCTTCACTAAGCCCAGTTGGGGCCACACATTCCTAGGCGACATTGGAGGAAATAAGATCACAGAATTGTGTGAATAAGTGGATGGACCATCTAAGTAGGGTTGGGAGAAAGAGATGCAGCATTAAAAGATAGAACAAAAAGTAGGGGCAATAAATGACGCCACAACGGTTGAACAGAAAATTTGTCAAGGGACTGCTTCCACTTCTGACTTTGATACGTTGTAACTCTGTGCCTACGATGGCGCCGCTTACTGACGATGCAACGGAAACGTTTGGGAATGTACTCAGCCAATCGTCAAATGCTGGAAATAACTAATACTATGGCAGAGGACACGGGACTAGGTACGTTCCACAAGGTCGAACCAACACCAAGTCAACAAGACTAACCAGCTTTTTTCTATATGCTATATATACTTATTGCGAGCAAAATTTAAGATATAGATGGGTATAGAAAGGTTTGATTAATTCACGTATACTCTATTGTGTCTGTCTGTGTATGCATGTTAACGTCTGTACGCGAAACTGTTCATAATTCAGAGTAATCAGAAAAAAGCTTAACATCAACCATAGACCATCAGGGTTTAATGACCCAAGGAAAATAGAAAATAAAAAGTATGACCAAGATTGCGTTAGTCCGTAAGTAACCCTGGTTAAATTGGCTAGATGTAAGTGTGTACACGTGAGAGCCAGGTTACGAAATCACTAGTCCGAACCCGTTAGTCTAGGTTGTTAAAGTCTAATGACCCAAGGAAAAGCTTGGCTGGGATTGCATAGCTCCCCCAAGTCTGTTTGACTGATAAACTTGAGATGTCTGCTGAATAAGTGATAGCCT